CCTCCTAAGCCGCAGGGATAACTGGCGTGCGCCACCGTGGCAGGCTGGTCTTCTCCATAACCATCACTCTCTTTAGACTGTCACTTCCTTCCATGGCTCCTGCGTCCCTCCAACCCCTCCTCTGCCCCTCTCACCTCTGGTGCCCATGTACCTCACAGCCACCTAGATACACCGGCCTGGGTGTCCTACGGGAACTTCACCCTCAGAATTGCTACCCCCAGACAAGTCCTCTGTCCCAAGTTGAAACCTGAGTCCCACCTGTGGTATTAGACTGTTTCCGTGTTGTCTGTTCCCCCTGTCCCCCCTACCAAGGGCCTCCCTCACACACCACCACCACCTCTTGTAGCCTCCTGGTGGTCTTCCCACCTTCTAATCTAATCCTAATCCGCTCAGTGGCTGACAGAGGGGTCAGTTCCAGTGAATACAGCCGATGTACCACTTTCCTGATCCTCTACTTTGGACCATAAATGTTTCCTAAAGGCCCATTTAGATCCCTAAACTCCCCAGGATAGAGTGACTAGGAGCTGGCGGAGCCTTTAAGAGGCGGGGCCTAGAGGAACACCTTTAGGTCTTTGGGAGAGTGCTCCAAAGAGAACTATAGGGTCCCAGCTCATCCTTCTCTCTTTGCTCCCTCACTGGCTTGTGATGTGAGCGCCATGATGTCCTTGCCACAGGCCCAAAGCCACAGAGCCAACCAATCCTGCACTGGAACCCTCAAAACTATGAGCCCTAACTCCCCCCCCCTTTTTTTTTTCTTTTTAAGTTGATCATCTCAGGCATCTTATTATAGGGAAAGAAAACCGACTAGCACTCTTGCTGAAAACCTTCCCAGGCTCCCCACTCTCCTTTGTTCAATGTCCATTAATGGAGGTCCTGTTGCTCCCTGGATTTCATTCTACCACTCCACCGCTTTCTTTCTCCTCCTCCAACATCCTTATCTTCCAATCCCACTGAAAGATTCACCATCCCCAATATGCCCTGGGGCTTTTGCACCTGAGCCGGTCGCCTGGTATTTCTTCCTTTTCTTCCTGTACAACTCTTATAAATCCTCCCAGTCCATGTCCAAAACGTCACCTCCTCTTGGAAGCCTTCCTTTCAGAGATTTGTGCAGTAACAGGGGATAGGGAGCTCCGATTGCCTGGGGAAGTGGATCACAAGTGAGGTGCTGAGGTGCGTGAGGATCCATCCTCGCCTTTGTTACAGGAAGAAGGTGACAATAAATTAACTCTCGCTAAGTGACTTGGAATACGCAGTGCTTTCCCATGCCATCTCTTTTGCTCCCAGGTGTAGCTACGAGCTGGCCCAATGATAAAAGAGAGACCTCAGAATAAAGGTCACGTGGCTTGCCCAGGGTGACAGAGTCAAGAAAGGACCGAGCTGGGAATTTAAACCTGCCACCTGCCTTGGCCATTCTGTTCCCTTGCTCTTGTTGTGCTCCGGGCGCCAGCTTATGTGTTTATCTCCTCGTGAGAGTGAGTTTCTCGGTGGCATGAGTCATGCCAGGCTTATCAGTGTGTCCCCAGAGTGTGAGGAGAGCTGGGGACAGAGAATGTCACTGAGCATTTGCTGACAAGGAGCTCCGATCTTTTCCTCCTCTCCCCTCTGAGGCTGACTACGGGTGACCTTTTTTTCCCCTTTTTGGCCTCTCCCCCGGGCCCCATGTTGGCCAGATTTCCTTTGTCTCCAACCATGCCAGGGGCAAGGTCATGGGACTCAAAGTTTGACCATTAGCTGTGTGAGGTTGGGCAAGTAACTCTGCTCCCTGAGGACAATAGGTCTTGCGCTTCTCAAAGTGAGGGTACACAACCCTATCTTACGGGTCCTAGAAGTCACAGGGAAAATGTAGCCCTCCATCCTGGAGAGTCCTTTTCTTCTTGGAAAAAGTCTTGGCACGGATGGAACTTGATGAGACAGTTTAACTGTGAATCGATATTTTAAACATTATTTTAAAATTTTGAAAGAGCCCGTATATGGCGTCGTGTGCCTGGAACCCCAGCCAATTGGGAGGCTGAGGCAGGAGGATGGCAAATTCAAGGCCAGCCTCAGCAACTCAGTGAGGCCTTAAGCAACTCAGCAAGACCCTGTCTCAAAATAAAAATAAATAAATATAAATAAAGGGCCGGAGATGTAGCTTAGTGGTGAAGCACCTCTGGATTAAAAAAATAATAATTCCAAAAATAAGGAAAGGATGAACCATCAGTTCTTGATATTTGTGGGTTCCACATGGGTGAACTAAAACCAAAGTTGCATCAAATTTTTTTGGGAAAAAAAATGACATCTGTACTGAACAGTTTAAGACTTTTTTTTTAACCTTGTCATGATTCCCCAAACACTGTAATAGAATAATTATTTATACAGCATTTTCATCGTATGAGATGTTGTAAATCAACTGGAGATGCTTTAAAATATGGGGGAGGCCAGGCGCATTGGAGAAGGCGTGTAATCTCAGTGATTCGGGAGGCTGAGGCAGGAGGATCTCAAGTTTAAGGTTGTGAGGCCCTAAGCAACCTAGTGACACCTGGTCTCCAAAAAATGAAATATAAAAGCAATATAAAGACCTGGAGATGTGGCTCAGTGCTAAAGCACCCTTTGATTCAAGGTC